TCTTTGTGTATCAAGCCGTAGCAAGGTGGAAACGGTTTCAGAGGAAAAGGAAGAAGCTGATGAATGGTTTGAAGATGATGAAGCTGATGAATGTTTTGAAGATGATGATGATAATGAGTTGGTTGAAGATGAAAATCATGATGGGGAGAAAGATGATGGAGAGAAGGATGCTGATATCTCTATTGTTTCCAAAACGGACGAGAATGGTGAGGATTACAGTGTTTATGGAAAAGTTAAAGATGAGGATGAGGAAGAAGATGATGATATTTGTTTTGAAGATTTCAAAAATACATATGCTATTGAAAGAGGAAAATCGAATGGTAACAATGTCTATGTTAGCAAGGATGCACTTCTTTGTTAGCAAATCTCTTTAGCAAATCCCGATTCTATCACGGCTATATAACTTGATTCTATCAATAGATTTAAGTATATATTTCTCTCTTTTGGAGATTCTATCAAAGGTTTTAAGTATCAGAGAAGGGTCATTGTGGTGGATGGGACTCACCTAAGTGGGAAGTATGGAGGTGTTTTGTTAGTTGCAGCTGCACAAGATGGGAATTTTCAGATATTTCCATTGGCTTTTGCGATTGTAGATGTTGAAGATGAACCTTCTTGGGGATGGTTTTTCACAAAATTGGCTAGTTATGTATCTGATGAGCAACATCTGGTGATATTCTACGACCGACACCCGGCCATTAAAAGTGCGCGTGATAAGGTGTTTGCTTGGGCAACCCGAGGAATATGTTATTATCACCTTCAAGAAAACATTGTCAAAAAGTATAAAGGGAAACATCTCTTGTACTTGGTGAAAGGTGCTGCTTATGCTCATACGGTTTCAGATTTTGACCAGTACATGGCTGAGATACGAAGTGGAAACCTGGACCTTGCAACGTATTTGGAGGATGCGGACGTCATCCTATGGTCAAGGGTTTATTGTCACGGGGTCAGGTACAACATAAAAACAAGCAACATCGCTGAAGTTATTAATTCCGCACTGAAGCGAACTAGAGGATTTCCGATTCAGTTCATGTTGGAGTTCATAAGGGAGAAGCTAGGTAAGTGGTTTTGGAAAAGGAGAGAAGATGCTTTGAGTCTCCTAACAGATCATAGTCGGGGTGTTGAATACTTGCTTACTGTTCGATCTGAGGTAGCGGATACGATGAGGGCCCAACCAATTGATGGATGGAAATTCTTTGTAAAAGGTGGAAAAATAGAATGTGTGGTTGATTTGCAGAATGGAAAGTGTGATTGTGGTGTCTATCAAGTGGAGAAAATACCTTGCTCTCATGCTATAGCTGCTGGATCACATGCTCGTCTGCATATTACCACTCTTGTACATCTAGTGTACTCAAAGAGTTATTTGTTTGCTGGATACTCAGAGAATATATATCCTTGTGGTGGACAACAAGTTGAGGAACGCACATGAGATCCACCGCCATCTTATCCCTAATAGCCTTTACGTTGGCGTTGGCCTTAGCAAAGTCTTTTGGATTAAATGACAGCCCAAGAGCATGACATTCAATGTATTTTAGAGCGTAGACGCCACAATCACCAGCTCGGGCCTGAGGCACTTTGGGTTCACATTCAAATGTCAATGGCTTCAGGGAGTATCAGGCACGCAGCTCATCAGAGGTTGAGCACTCAACAAGCAGATAAGAGATCATGTGCTGAAAAGGCTCCATTATCACTTTGAGTTATTCGTCGGAGATAGAGGTAAAATGCTGTCCCAGACGACTAAGTGTCTCTTAGGGATCGATATCCATATAGCAATCCAATGACAGTTGTTGTAGTTCACTGGCGCATAGATATCATCAATATCCACTCCCTACATCTTGTTCGACTGGCAAAATGATGGTATAGCGCCTGAATAACAATTATACGCTCCACCAGGGAGTCTTCTTCCTAAACCGTTGTGATCACAATCCGATTCTTTAAACTCGGAGTAGTTGAATCTCCATTGCTGAGAAAAGAGATGATCAAGGAAGAAAATCCTCTCGCTCCTGAATGCTTGTGGATTTTCAGCGTACCTCTTCCTCAACACATAAATCCAAGCATCAACATGCTGCATTTAAAATAAAACAAGTCAGAAGTATTCTACGTAGACGACTTACCTTTAAGTCGTCTGGTAAGTCGTCTGGTAAGTCTTCTTTGTAGACGACTTATCAGACGACTTACCATTAATGATAAGTCCTCTACTAAGTCATCCAGCTAGAAAATTTTACAGACGACTTAATTATAAGTCCTCTACTAAGTCGTCCAGTTGGAAGACTTTCCAGATGACTTAATCATAAGTTTTCAAAAAGTCTTTTGGATTGAAGTAAATACATGTCTTTCAATAGCTTCTTTAAAGCATCTTCGTCCTTTGCCACCCTTGTAAGCCAGTATCGGTGGAGACGGTCTTTTTGGTATGGGATGACCATAATTAGCACCCAATTCCGGCAGAGCTGTGTACACCCAGACCTGGCGAGCTTGTACAAACCCATCAATGGTGTAACAACCCGATATATCTATTCCCTTCACAGAGTTCATCAACACCTTAAACGCGACTCTCCCCCATGGATAATTCTCAAACCGTTCTAGATCCATCACTAGCCTTGCCGGAATAGCCCGTGTAGGGGTTGAAAACTTCCTCCCTTCAATGTATCCAGTGAAGATGGCAAGGTACCCGAGCCGCTTGCGATCATCCGGAGACCACCTTTCGCACCTCTCAAATGCTGCTATTATCTGATCAGTAGTTGGCCCAGCTTCGACATTAACTCCCAAAAACTCCCAAAAAGCAGCCAACTCCTTTGTAACATAACAGTTTGGTCTCTCAAGGTCTTCGATGTACTCACAGTTTAGACCAGTGAGGTATTCAAACTGTAACAGTGAAAACCTCAAAGGTTTTGGACCAACAATAGTCCACAGCACATACTTCTTCTTTATGTCAAGCTGGAAATCGAGCATGTAGTGAACCAGCCTTGAAGCCCATTCAAATTTCAGCTCTTGGAACTTGATGAAAACTCTCAACTTAAACTCCTTCAGCTCTTCATATTCATCATCATTAAGGGCATTCCTTAGAGCAGTATACAACTTCGTACACGGATGATACAAAATGATATGCAATGGGGGGGGGGGGGGGCTCTTGCCCTACTGTATGTATCCTACGGGGAGTTCTGGAATATCCATTTTTCTGCAAAACAATCAAACACAACCATCTCAAACACACAACCATCCAGTATAACATTTTAATTATAAGTCTACCAAGACTTCTAGTAGAACATTGGAAAGCTGACCTGAAAATTCAGAGAAGATATAGTCACCTTCGACAAAGCTGTTAACTGCAAAAATAGACGTGAAAAAAAGAAGCACGGTGAGAACGATGTTTTATTCTTCTTTAGATATAACTTATCGGCCGCAGAGTTCAACGAAACGTCTCTAAGAGAAACAGCGCTAGGCTTTACAGAAAATTGGCGCTAGGGTTTCCTCTCAGATCTGAAATATAGGAAGCGCGGTGAGAACGGTGGTGATAACGATGGTGGTAAAGCGAAGAGAAAACCGGCTTTGAGAACGATGGATTAGAGAGATTCGACGGAACTCGCCTTTGAAATCACCTTTGAGAGAAACGGCGTTAGGGTTTTCTGAATTTCGCGAAAAAATTGAGTAAAAAAATATCTTATATATGTTTGGTAAAAAATCCGGTTAGGTTTAAAAGTAAATTGGTAAACTCAAAGGTTCGGTCCGGTTTGGACGACTTATTACTAAGTCAAATAAGTCGTCTGTTGATACTATCCATCAGACTAAGTCGTCTACCTTAAATATATTTACTAGACGACTTAATAGTATGTCGTCCAGACCCTAAACCCTAAACATTAAACTAAATTGACTAAATTAACTAATTAACCACGTTATAAAATCAAATTATACTTAAATAGTGTTTACTATACATACTTAAATAATATTTACTATACACAAAATAAACACACTTAGATAAATTTTAAAGTTTTCAAAAAAATATTTATGCTTTCGAAAATCTAACCTTAAGAAACACATACAATACTACAACATAGGTTGGCAAACCCTAAACCAAAGAATATCATAACTCACTACTTTCACTCATCTATGTTAAAAAAAAAAAATTGTTATATCTTAATTTATATCTCTTAAAACATATGTAGTTACATGATTTCAATTTTTCACTTATCTAAATATTTTTTACATAATTTTTAAATTATTTTTAAGAATAATTATACTAGACGACTTAATTGAAAGTCGCATGAATAGAATAGTTACGGGGGTTAGAAACGTAAAAACAAAACTCGGGTTTTTTGTTTGTTCACAAGGGGCTGGTTGTAATTTCAATAACTTTTTAGGTTACTTTTGCATTTGATTCATGTTTGGGTTTACTTTTGCATTTGAAACCAAGTTTTAAGTCATATTTGGCAAATTTTCCTAATATTATCATTAAATGAGCATTATCATTTGCATCATATTCTAAAGCATCCTACATGCTTTTATATTTTTATTTTTCTTATGAAATTTTAATTGTAATTAATATTTTTATAGAAACAATAAATTACATAACTTTAACAAACAAATATATAATTTAAATGTAATAATATGTTTATTAATTACAAATAATTAAGTAAGTATTATTAAAATAAAATAAAATGGTTTATGGTTGAAAATTTTATGTTATAGTTGGAGATGAGAAATAAATTAAAATACCAAAACACTAAATTGGTGTATTTTCAACATAATTTCGGTGTAACTTCAATACTTACTAAATTTGATGTTATGGTTGGAGTTGTCCTAAGGCTTTGCTTTTATGAAGTTTAAGATGGTAGCATAATTAAGATCTTTGTTTAACGTAATGAAGGTAGAGTAATGATTTTGTCAACATGGTAGTTAATTAGTGTGGCTAATGAAGAGTTAATGGGAGAAAAAACTGACCCCTCTCCCCCCCCCCCTTTTTGTCATCAAGAAGACAATACCATCTAACTTAATGAGATTTAATTAATTTAAAATGTAAAAGGATTTTTAAGTATACATGTAGAGTAAATAATCTAAAAAGTACATAATATCAAAAGTTGACCCATAGAACCGGAATAATGTTAAGATCTAGGATGCATCACATCAGAGGTTGACCCATGAGCCATTTGGAGCCAAGGACTTAAAGACACAGACCGTTGGTTGTGGTTGGATGGTCCGGCCACACGTTCACATGATGGACACATGAGCAGCGTAGTCGGTGGACTCATTTGACCATACAACCGCGGTGAAAGCTTTAGTGCCCTCAACTCTGCAGCTTCTTTTTCTAGCCGCCTATTTGCTTCAGTCAATTTCTCTACGCACCTCTTCAAATACTCACAATCTACTTCGGTTTGCTTCAACTTAGTCCTATTGGCCACAAAAAATTGGTTTGTATTGTAAATAACTATTGCTCTAAAAGGGTAAAATGATCAAATAGTATCCTAGAATGAGTTTTCTGACTCTCACGGCCTCACCTTGCTCTTCTGTTTTGGAACCACACTTCTACTTGTCTTGCGGTTAAGCCTAGCTTCTTAGCCAAAGCCAGCTTCTGTTTCTGTCGATTTACCATAGAGCTCATGTTAGATCATAACATTTACAAGAATACCCTCTTTCCAAGATGGTGATGAACAATGACTTACAGGGTTGAGAGTATTGTGCTCCTTGAAAGTGTCTTCAAGAACAACGGACTGATCTTTGGACAGCCTAAGCTTCTTCCGACAAGCTTCTCCACCGTATTCTTCCTCTTCATCGGAGGTTCCACGTGAGGAAGATCGATCCAAAGTGATATCGTGGTCATCTCCAGCACCACCGGACGTTCCTTCTCTCTCGCTTCTCCTCTTACCGCTCACGGTGCTCGAGATCGTGCTGTTTGGGGAAGAAACTCCCGTCTCCTCCTCCAAATCCACCGTTGACGGCAAGCTGTTCACGTCTATTTTCCTAAGGAACTGATGATTTTGATGATCTGCAAAAATGGAAATGGTTTACTTAGAGATCTGTTTGTTTCTTGAAGAAATAGTCAAGACCTTGAAAAAGAAATGTACCTGAGGAGGAAACAAAGGTTTGGTTCCATGAAAAGATCTGGAGATTGGATACGGGTGGAGAACTGGGGTTGATATTCAGCTTGAGAGGACGGTGAGGTTGTGCCAACCCCAAGCTCAAACTTAAACTCAAATCCTCTTTTCCCATCATCATTATATATATATTCTAGGTCTTGAATATTACTTTGACCCAAGAGTTTCAAAAATTAAGGTTTTGTGAAGTGACGATACGAAACGTTTAGATCTTTATGGGTAGAGATGAGAAGAGAAACTTTGCGTTTTCCTCAAAAGCTCTAGTTTTGATAATGAATGAAGAGTAAAGAAGACAAGGTTAGCCTTGTAGGGTTCTTATGGAGAGAGTGAGATGTGAAATGGAATGAAAAGAGATGATTAATATAGGAGTTGAATGAAATGAGAGCTTGTCATGTTGGCCAATTAATATATAACCTATATAATGCCTTTCTGAAACCTCTATTGTTTTATCACCAACTTGTTGCCTCATTGTCTTCATTCCTTCTTTGTCTTTTTCCTTCTTTTACTATTTTTTTGAGACACTCCTTTTACTATTATAGTCTTCTCTTTCCATAAGCTAAAATTTATTCTATATATGTATGGAATCCAAAGTACTTTAATTTCCAAATCATAATTTACACTCGCATTATCAATATCATCTTGTAAACTCCTGCGCAAAAAAATAAAAGTATATTTATATAGAAAAAAGAAACTCAATCATTCAAGATCGCACACGGATGAGACCAAATATCAAATAAATAGTTGGCAATAGTTTGTTGAATAAATCAAGTGGTTGGTACAAGAACACAATCCACATGAATCTGAACTCCTTCAAAGCTGTGGGCCAATCAACTGCTGTAATCCAATCATATGCATGTGGGATAGCGATAGGGATGGAATGGATGCGGATATCCGGAAATTTTGAAGTATCCGGATACGGACGAATCCGGATCCGTGATTTTAGTATCCGGATTCGAATTCGTGTCTTTCAGAGATCTGAGCTTCAGATATCTGTTTAGATATTGTGATATCCGCGGATATTCGGATTCGGATTCGGATCCGTAAAAAAAAAAAAAAAACCCTAAAAAATAATACATAAATTAAATATTTAAGCATAATTTATGATTATATATGACATATAAAATTATAAATATAAAATTAAAATATTATTAAACTTATTTTATGTATAAATATTAATATTATCAGATATAATTAATAATAAAATAAAAAATTTAATATATTTTTAAAAATATGGATCCGAATCCGGATATCTGAACCTAAAAAAGGAGTGTCTCAAAAAATATGGATCCGAATCCGGATCTAGATTTGGTTTGCACGGATCTGAGATTTTACTATCCGCATTTAGATCCGGACACCCGCAAATATCCTAATTTCAGAGTAAATCCGGAGTGAATCTCGGATCGAATCTGGATCCTGGATAAAAATCTCAGCCCTAATGTGGGACGTGGAATCTATCACTACTTTTTTTTTTATCAAATAGATCTATCACTACAATGACACCGTATTCATGGATCCAAACATATTGACTGTTTCTCTCAACTGTTTTTTTTTTTGAATTTCTAAGGAAATTCGAATATTGGGCTTTAATTTCTTTTTAATCCGGAGTCAGACTTTATTAATATTATTAATGGCATAAAACACTTTCTTCACTATGAATTAAACCTAAAAATACAATAGTACGAACGCCTACGCTTAAACCAATTGGACTGCCATATTCTTGGTCGCTCTATAAGTTTATTTCAAGACTTTATATACATTTAAGAGAAGATTTATATAGTTTCAGTATTCATTAGTTTATTTTTGCTTAAGAGTATTCATTAGTTTTATAGAACGTGACGGTAACAAACCAATAAAAATAAATTAGTTAAACTATAAAACATCATAATCATTTTTAATAAAAAAAAAAGAATTTTATTTTTGTTAAAAAATGTAGACAGATTATAATCGATAAAAATACAACTCCTTAGTTTTACACAATTTACCTCTCCGAGTTTCAGTTATCAATCAATATGCTTTTTTATAAGTATGCTTTTTATGTGTATAATATTTGACAAGGAAGATGTAAGCCATGTTTATTTAAGAAAAATGTAAGACGTGTGTTTTCATCGCTGAAAGATGATTTAATAGGGTTGTATAAAAAATATTTATTAGGGTTGTATGGGTTTAACAAAATCAAATTTTACCAATTGCTTTAAAAAAACCGAAATTTGATAACTCTACAGCTTTGGGCTCGAGAGGGTAACATGGGCAGGTAGGTCCCCTCACGTGACTATAAGGGACCCGAAAACACTCTAACCGGCCGTGCGTTTTCTTATGTTTCCTCACGCGCCGACATCTTATCATTTGTATCGACGCGCCTTAATCATTTTCGCTTCTATGTAATCATTATACTACGCAAAATTTGGAAAGAAAATGTTTTCTTACAGAACAACTAGAATATCAACTCAATACAATTACTTCTGATTTTTTTTTTTAAATGTTAAAACGCAGTTTCAACCAATACGTATAAAGCAAAGAAACACGAATAATACAAATCGTTATTTTCTGATGATGTAATAATGTGAGGCGTTTATATATGTTTTGCTTTTTGGGTAGGACTAACAATATTGTGTTTGGAGGATTAGTAATGATCAATGTTGTTAATCATGCTTGATTTAAAGCTTAATTATGCTCTACATAATTAGCTGTAGACTAGTGTCACCATCATTGACGAACTTTGTTTGGACCTAACTCCCCTTGTTATATATGTCTTCGAATATTGTAGTCTCTCGAAACTAATAATAACTACGTAGATAATTGCGTTTGTACATAGTGAAAATAAATAATAACCATAATTTAAAATTTAAAATTTTTAATATTTTGTTATATTAAGTCAGTTTTATTTGTGTAAAATATTTTTTCGAATATTTGGATGAATTTTTTTTGTATATTTTCTATTTATTAGAACCATAACATAAGGAACTTTTTGGAATAAAATATATAATTGGCCAACATGTGTATAGATAGACCATAGCAGTGAATATTTTTGGTGGAGATCCATCCTCAAATACGGAAGCAGTAAATAAATATTATATAATATACTACGTTTTGTATTACGTTTAAATGAAACATGGCTTTGAATGGTAAAAGCAGATCAAGCAGTACAGATCAAGCGGTTCATGCAGATCAAGCAGGACAAGTGCAGATCAAGTAGGACAAGTGCAGATCAAGCGGATCATGCAGGAGAGATGCAGATCATGCATGAGAGATACAAATTAAACGATTTATTATAAATTATGAATGACAACATCAGTTCAAAACTATAGATCATATATTCAAATAATAAAAGATTATACTAAAATATCAAAATAAATATCTTAGATGTTGTAAGATCAGCCAAAATGTTTATTGAATTTTCCATATGATGCTTATATTTCTTCTATTTTCGTTTTAGTTAATCAAAATTATCTTTGAAGAACCAACATGTTACTAATATTAAAATCTTTGTTGATATTTATATAGAAAAATTTATAATTGTTTGTTGAAAAATATTATGTTTTGTTTGTGACTGAATGTCATATTTATAAGTTTAAAAATGATATGATTGTAATTTTAAAATTGACACAAATAGTATTTAGTGTGAATAATATTGTTTGAGCTAATCATTATATATTATTTATAAAATTAATAAATATATTTAAAGTTAATATTTGCAGCAAAATCATTCATTAGTGAAAAAAGCAGATCAACACCATCAAATGTTAGCGGGTGAGATCTGCATGCATAGGAAATATGAGCAAGAAAAAGGCTAATAAATTGAAAATAATTCCAATTTGTCGTTTCACATAAACGTTTGATCAGTTATTGATATTCTATCGATATATTAGACTTCCTCTATTTCAATATGATGTATTTTAGTTTTTTCACATATTAATAAAATATATAATAAATATATATTTCTATAATTTTTTACATAATTATAAATCAATAAAAAACTAATAAATGTAATTAAGTTTTTTTAAAAAAATTTGTTATTAGTCATCTCTGGTTGATAATATATACACTGAAAATATAAAAATATATATTTTATTAAAACATTTATTTTCTAAAACATGTAATTTTATAAAATGGAGAGAGTATGACCTTTATACCTGCATGATTATTGAGATTCTAGTATGGTCACGGTTAATCTTAAATAGTGGTTTAGGGAATCTATGTTTTTTATAAAAAGTATAAGATGATGTAGTAAAAAAAAAGAAGATGGTGTGTATAAAATAGGAAGAAGCTTGTCGACCAAAAAAAAGGGAGAAGCTTCAAGGAAGGCTTGTAATTAAAACTAGATTCTTACCTACACGATTGTACGGATATTTTAATACTAAAATATTTTAAATTATATAATAAAAATTTATCAATAAATTAATATAATTTACTGTCGTATACTATTTAGTTTTGTAATAATGTTTATATATCTCATAATATTACTACTATAAAGTTTATAAAATTTGTATTTTTTAACAATTTTGTAAAACATTATTATGTAACATTAATAATTTAGATATTTTGTTTTATTTTTATTTTTAAATATATGTAAAAATTAAATTAAATTGGACTTATATAGTACACAAATAATTGTTTGGGATAATGTTAACAATATTTTACATAACTTTTGATTTTTTTATAAATAAAAATGAATAAATATTAATTATATTTATGATCACTAAAATTTTAATTAAATAATTTACGAAATTATATATTGAAAATATTCTAAAATATTTCTAAAAGATTTTATTAGAATTTTCTTTAAATATTTATTTTTTCAAATAAAAAATTAAAGATTTGAAAATATATTATAATGATGTTATATACAATCTTATAAACTTGGTAAAAATAATTTCAATTAAGAAAATCACATATGAAATAAATCATAACCTCTACTTTAATATAATAGATAGAAGAAGCATGGACCATATATCCTCCCATGTGGAAACGACGTGGCGCACACACTCCTATCCTAAGCTAACCACACCACCCATCACAGCAAAGCCCACGTGTGCTCTTGTCCACCCACACGTGCATTCATAGTCAAATATTCCTATGCAGCTATGCTCTTCTTGGTTGTCCTAAGTCAATGGGAAAATATATTTCTTTACATGTCTCCAATTCTTTTATTTTTTTTCACCAAAAACAAGATATATTTCATATTACATCTAATCTATTAAAATTAAAGTACACTCAAAAAATAATTCTTCACCTCATGTATTATTTGCAGAATTTGCCACTGGAATTAAAGCTGATATGTACAAAATAATTCGCATAATACATTTATTATTTAACTTATTATTTCATTATTATATATATTC